CTACTGTACTCATATCAGTGTTCATGATGGATAAAAAAACGTGAACGTTGCAACTTTGTTCATCATAGTATGATATAATAAGTATATAAGGTCGGCGACCATCCTGAGGAGAAAATCCGCCAGACGGCGGTCGTGCTGGCGGTGTTCCAAGTGGTGCGTCCCGCGACCACTGTTACCACAACCCCTCAACCTCACAGCCTTCAAACCAAAATTACCAAATAGGTTCTTGGGGCGAATGGCGGCTTTTATTTTAATTTTGTTAATAAATCAACCAAATAAATAATAAAACATATTTCTGGAGTTATAAAATGATTTGTAACAGTTCAAAAATTGGCAATACAAATACTTAAAATATGTTTTTTGTATATAATAAAATTTAGTCATAAACTTCTAGATTTTTCTTAAATTAAAATTATCTATTATATGTTATTTTACGTTAAACGGTACCGTGTACAGTAGAGAATTGAGGGCGGTGTAGTCTTGGTAACAGTGGAAGAGGGCGCAGCATTTGTAAAATGACTGTGGCAGATCACCCACTGCCAGAGTCTGCCCGGTCTGCCGTCTGGGCAGTGTGTGTGTGTGGGTGTATGAGTGTGTGTATATGTGTGTGTGTGTGTGTGTGTATGAGTGTTTGAGCGTGGGTGTATATGTGTGTGTATATATGGGGGTGATTTTGCTAGGTTAGGTTAGAATGAGTTAGGTTTGTTAGATATAAACTAGGTTACCCCATATTTATGTGAATATGTTCTATTATGTTTTATTTTAGTTGTGGAATAAAGCGCCACTTTGAATGCGCATGTTATGTTTGTTTTGTTTTTTGTTTTTATGGATGGTCCCGAAAATATACTGGAAAGAGCAACATCGTTTATGTCATTGTCTGAGCCTCTCGCATCATATTTCGTTGATATCCACAAAAAATGAACACTGTAACTTCAACAAGGTTAGGTTAGGTTCTACAGTCAATGGTCTCCATAATGTGGGTCACTAGACTCCCCATTTTCCCTCGGTCAGCTGCGGTAGCTCGTCAGTATAAGCGACCACAAGACGTACACAAAGGTTAACTGATGGATGCCTTACCAATTTAATTTTGGGTTTTGCTTCACGTTTTATTTACACTCCATCGCACTCTAATGATTTATTTACAATTTACACTTAATATTTAATCTGAGTTTCATTTGAAATATCCTAAATATTCGAAGTGCCCTTTTGTTCGATTGTCGGTCAAGAAGAGTAAAGGTTTACTTCCTAGCATGAGAGAGAGAGAGAGAGATAATGACGGAAACATTATAGACTAGCTCGTGTAACACCAATATGTTCCTATAAAAGAGTCGTGTGTTGACCTAGGACGTGTGTGTGTGTGGGGGGGGGGATTGGGAGGAAAGGCGCGAGTAGATATTAAAGAGGAAGGCAGAGAAGGAGACAGAGAGGGGGGATAGGTGAGGTGATTGAGAATGAGGGCGGCAGGGAAGTGAAAGAGAAGAAGTGAGAGGAAAGGGAGAAGGGGGTAGGCAGGGGGTGAGAGGGAAGGAGTAAGAGGAGAGGGAGAGTGGGGTAGGCAGAAGGTGAGAGAGAAGGAGTAAGAGGAGAGGGAGAGAGTGGAGGGAGCCACTCAGGCCTCAGGGAATGAAGACATTTTGCAGTGGAGTACTTCCCTCCTCCTCTTCCTCCTCCTCCTCTTTCTTCTTCTCTGTCACTTTTCACTCAATATACGAAAGCTGATACTATTACACCTTCCCCTCCCTAATCCTCCTCCTTCCCCATTTCACTTCTCTCTATCTTCCTCTTCCTCTTCCCCTCCTTCTCTTCCTCTTTCCCCACGTCCACCTGACCTCCACCACCACCTACACCTTTACCACAACCACCACCACCTCCTCCTCCTCCTCCTCCTCCTCCTCCCCGCCACTAGGTTAAAGCTGTCCTCATATCCACCACCATTACCTCCGCCACCGTTACTAGTCCTAATAGACCCTAGTGCTAATAGACCCCAGTGCTAATAGACCCCAGTGCTAATAGACCCCAGTGCTAATAGACCCCAGTGCTAATAGACCCCAGTGCTAATAGACCCCAGTGCTAATAGACCCCAGTGCTAATAGACCCCAGTGCTAATAGACCCCAGTGCTAATAGAGACCCCAGTGCTAATAGACCCCAGTGCTAATAGACCCCAGTCCCATGACCCCAGTCCCACTGACCCCAGTGCTAATAGACCCCATCCAAGACCCCAGTGCTAGACCCCAGTCCTAATTGACCCCAGTCCCACTGACCCCAGTGCTAATAGACCCCAGTCCATGACCCCTAATTGACCCCAGTGCTAATATACCCAGTCCAAGACCCCAGTGCTAATAGACCCCAGTCCCACTGACCCCAGTCCCAATTGACCCCAGTGCTAATAGACCCCAGTCCCATGACCCCAGTCCCATAAGTCTAATAACCCAGTGCTATAGACCCCAGTGCTAATTGACCCCAGTCCCACTGACCCCAGTGCATAGACCCCAGTCCCACTGACCCCAGTCCCAACTGACCCCAGTCCCACAGACCCCAGTCCTAATAGACCCCAGTGCTAATTGACCCCAGTGCTAATATACCCCAGTCCTAATAGACCCCAGTGCAAGACCCCAGTCCCATTGACCCCAGTCCCACTGACCCCAGTGCTAATAGACCCCAGTCCTAATTGACCCCAGTCCCACTGACCCAGTCCAATAGACCCAGTCCAATAGACCCCAGTGCTAATTGACCCCAAGTGCACTTGACCCCAGTCAATAATGGATCCCAAATCTGTGGGGGGGGGGGTCAAGCCAACTAAACGCGAAACACAAGATTATATTGTATGGTGTAAAAAGTAGAACTAATAGTTGAAAAGATTAACACAAGCAGAATCAACTAGATAGAGATGGAAGAAGAAGAAGAAGGTGATGATGAAGAGAGGACGAGTAGCAGGAGGAGAAGGAAGAAGAAGAGAGGAGGAGGAGCAGGAGGAAGAAGAAAAGGAAGGAGCAGGAGGAGGAGGATGAGGAGAGGAGGAGGAGGGGAGGAGGGAGGAGGAGGAGGAGGAGGGAGGAGGAGGAGGAGGAGGAGGAGGAGGAGGAGAAGGAGGGGAGGAGGAGGAGGAGGAGGAGGAGGAAGAAGAAGAAGAAGAAAAAGAAGAAGAGAGGAGGAGGAGGAGCAGTAGCAGGAGGAAGAAGAAAAGGAGGAAGCAGGAGGAAAAGGAGGGGGGGGGAGAGAATGGGAAGGAGGTGGAGGAGGAAAAGGAGGAGGAGGAAGAGGAGGAAGCAAGAGGGAGGGAGGAGGGACCTACACTACACTGGTTCCATTTATGATCAAGAAATACTCCAGCATTCTTGAGACAATGTTTCTGGCTCCTGTCCAGCACCAACGTGGCCTGGGTAAGGGGTGGTGTAGTGTGGGGTGTAGGGAGTAGTGTTGGCGTAGTGAGTGTAGTGTGGGTGTGGTGGGTGTAGAGTGTGGTGGGTGTAATGTGGGTGTACAGGGTGTAGTGTGGGTATAAAGTGGGCGTAGTGGGTGTAGTGTGGGTGTAATGGGTGTAGAGTGAGTGTTGTGGGTGTAGTGTGGGTATACAGAGGGTAGATATCAGTCACCCACACCACCACTCACACCCACACAACCACCCACATCCACACCACCACCCACATCCACACACCACCAGCCACAAACCACATACCACCAGCCACACCCACACACCACCAGCCACACACCACCAGCCACACCCACACACCACCAGCCACACCCACACACCACCAGCCACACCCACACACCACCAGCCACACACCACCAGCCACACACCACCAGCCACACCCACACACCACCAGCCACACCCACACACCATCACCCACACACAGCCACACCCACACACCAGCCACACCCACACACCACCAGCCACCCACACACCACCAGCCACACCCACACACCACAGCCACACACCACCAGCCACACCCACACACCACCAGCCACACCCACACACCACCAGCCACACCCACAAACCATCAGCCACACACCACCAGCCACACCCACACACCACCAGCCACACCACCAGCCACACCCACACACCACCAGCCACACCCACACACCACCAGCCACACCCACACACCACCAGCCACACCCACACACACCAGCCACACAACACCAGCCACCCACACACACCACCACACCCACACACCACCAGCCACACCCACACACCACCAGCCACACCCACACACCACCAGCCACACCACCAGCCACACCCACACACCACCAGCCACACCCACACCACCAGCCACACCCACACACCACCAGCCACACCCACACACCACCAGCCACACCCACACCACAGCCACACACCACAGCCACCCACACACCACCAGCCACACCCACACACCACCAGCCACACACCACCAGCCACACCCACACACCACCAGCCACACACCACCAGCCACACCCACACACCACCAGCCACACCCACACACCGCCCAGCCACACACCACGCCACACCCACACACCACCAGCCACACCCACACCACCAGCCACACACCACAGCCACACCCACACACCACCAGCCACACCACCAGCCACACCCACACACCACCAGCCACACCCACACACCACCAGCCACACACCACCAGCCACACCCACACACCACCAGCCACACCCACACACCACCAGCCATACACCACAGCCACACCCACACACCACCAGCCACACACCACCAGCCACACACCACCAGCCACACCCACACACCACCAGCCACACCCACACCACCAGCCACACCCACACACCACCAGCCACACCCACACACCACCAGCCACACCCACACACCACCAGCCACACCCACACACCACCAGCCACACCCACACACCCACCAGCCACACCCACCAGCCACCCACACACCACCAGCCACACCCACACACCACCAGCCACACCCACACACCACCAGCCACACCCACCACCAGCCACACCCACACACCACCAGCCACACCCATACACCACAGAAGGAAGATATAATACTCACTGTCACAGATCATCTCGAGGGAGGGCACAAAGTATTCGTCACACACAACAGCGATGCCTACGAACATGTACACAGTAATGATGATGTGTACGATAAGGCCGCTTTTCGTCTCGGCAGACATGAACCCTGTAGGGAACTGTTCGATGGCGGGAGGTGTACAGTTCTCCCTCATGGGCGGCGATGATGACTCCTGAAGAAGGTATCGTCGTGGGGAGATTGGCGATAACGAGGACTCGGCTGCTGCTACGGGCTCGGCTGGCTCTCCTTCATGTTGGGTAGAAACAACACTCGGTTAAACATTAAACTGGTCGATGAGGATACTTGACTACTACCGTGTGTGTGTAGAGGTGTGGTGGGAGGTGTGGTGGGTGAGGTGTGTGTGTGTGGGAGGTGTGGTGGGAGGTGGTGGGTGAGGTGGGTGGGTGAGGTGGTGGGCGAGGTGTGGGGAAGTGTGGGGAAATGTGTGTGTGGGGGAGGTGTGTTCGGAGGTGTGTCTGTAGGGGAAGTGTGAGGAAGTGTGTGCTGGGGAGGTCAGTGGGGAGGTCAGAGGGAGGAAGCTTATCCAAACTAGGAAATTATTTGATTGAGTTTCTTTCCAGTGAGACTGACCACACAGGAAGTTAGGCAATAGAATGAGTAAGGAGGGATGAGGAGGGATGGGATGTGAGGAGGGATGGGGATGTGGAGGGATGGGATGTGAGGAGGGATGGGGATGAGGGGATGATGGGGAGGATGGTGAGGGAGGGATGGGGATGTGAGGGAGATGGGGATGTGAGGGAGGATGGGGATGTGAGGGAGGGATGGGATGGAGGGAGGATGGGGATGAGGGAGGGATGGGGATGTGAGGGAGGGATGGGGATGTGAGGGAGGGATGGGGATGTGAGGGAGGGATGGGGATGTGAGGGAGGGATGGGGATGTGAGGGAGGGATGGGGATGGAGGAGGGATGGGGATGTGAGGAGGGATGGGGATGTGGAGGGAGGGATGGGGATGTGAGGGAGGGATGGGGATGTGAGGGAGGGATGGGGATGTGAGGGGAGGGATGGGGATGTGGAGGGAGGGATGGGGATGTGAGGGAGGGATGGGATGTGAGGAGGGATGGGATGTGAGGGAGGATGGGGATGTGAGGGAGGGATGGGATGTGAGGGAGGGATGGGGATGTGAGGGGAGGGATGGGGAGGAGGGATGGGGATGTGAGGGAGGGATGGGGATGAGAGGATGGGGGATGAGGGAGGATGGGGATGAGGGAGGGATGGGGATGTGAGGGAGGGATGGGGATGTGAGGGGAGGGATGGGGATGAGGAGGGATGGGGATGGAGGGAGGATGGGGATGAGGGAGGGATGGGATGTGAGGGAGGGATGGGGATGGAGGAGGGATGGGGATGTGAGGAGGGATGGGGATGAGGGGAGGGATGGGGATGTGGAGGGGAGGGATGGGGATGGGAGGGAGGGATGGGGATGTGAGGGAGGATGGGGATGTGAGGGAGGATGGGATGTGGGGAGGATGGGGATGTGAGGAGGGATGGGGATGAGGAGGATGGGGATGAGGGAGGATGGGGATGAGGAGGATGGGGATGTGAGGGAGGATGGGGATGGAGGGAGGGATGGGGATGTGAGGGAGGGATGGGGATGTGAGGGAGGATGGGGATGTGAGGAGGGATGGGGATGTGAGGGAGGGATGGGGATGTGAGGGAGGATGGGGATGTGGAGGGAGGGATGGGATGTGAGGGAGGGATGGGGATGTGAGGGAGGGATGGGGATGGAGGGGAGGATGGGGATGTGAGGGAGGGATGGGATGTGAGGGAGGGATGGGGATGAGGGAGGGATGGGGATGTGTGTGTGTGTGTGAGAGAGAGAGAGAGAGAGAGACCAAGGAGGGATGGTTAAGTGAGAAAAATAAAGATATTAAGAGAAATATAACGATAAAGAGAAAGTGAGACAACGACAGAGACAAAGGCAGAGATAAAGAGAGACAGAGCTGAAGATAAAGGGAGAGAAACAAAGAAATATAAAGGCAAAGAGGGAGATAGGGAGAGTGAGAGGGTTAGTTATTTGGTCTCGTTAACGACAGACCCAACACCTAATTGGAACCACTAGGGAGACTGATCACGGAAGGGGGAACATGGACTCTCTCTCTCCCTCTATCTCTCCTTCACCTTACCTCTCCCTCTATCTCTCCCACATAATGCCCCCCACACACACATCACCATCAAGAAGGAGACACAGAGGCCAGCCAGACAACTCACCAATCTTGACACAGTTTGTTAAGATTTATGTTGATTTCAGGTCGACTCTACAGCGTCAGTTTGTAAAAACGACGTGGCTCCTCACGCAACTCCCCACACACACACACATATGTACGTAGGCTACTGGAACAAATACTTACATGTGTGTATGTGTGTGTGTTCGTGTGTTTTATAAGATAATTGTAGCCACAAATAAGTACTTCTTAAGTTTCCACACCACCTTAATGACATAGTACTGTACCTTAATGTTTACTATATTACAGTTAATGGAGGCTCTTATTACTGACAAGTTTTGTTAAGTGAGTTACTGCCGAACCATCAGGTGGGTGAAGATGGCAAACAAGAGTGACTCACCTGGGTGGTGCAGGAGTGTGTGGCCATGGGTCAACAAGGTCACCAGCCCCAGATAAGTGAAGGTGGCCAACAAGAGTGGCCGCAGACGTGCCCGACGGGTCCTCATACCTAATCGTGTGGCCAGACCCATACTGCTCCTGAGAGGAGGAGGAAGGTGTTAGTATACAGTCAAGTTAATGTATACTACAATATGTACACACACACTAAACCACACTATGTACACACACACTATATACTATACACATATGACAGACTATAATGCTGGTAACCAAGGAACCCGAGATTATGACGTGTTTAGTGAAGAGATGAAATAGATGGTGCCACCACACACTGCCACCACATACTACCGCCACACACTGCCACCACACACTGCTACCACACACTACCCCACACACTGCCACCACACACTGCTACACACACTACCCCACACACTGCCACCACACACTGCCACCACACACCACCCCACACACTGCCACCACACTGCCACCACACACTACCCCACACACTGCCACCACACACTGCCACCACACACTACCCCACACACTGCCACCACACACTGCCACCACACACTGCCACCACACACCACTCCCACACACTGCCACCACACACTGCCACCACACACACCCCACACACGCCACCACACACTGCCACCACACCCACCACCACACCCACACACACCCACCACACACCCACCACACACCACCCACACACCGCCACCACACACTGCCACCACACCACCCCACACACTGCCACCACACACCCACCACACACTACCCACACACGCCACCACACACTGCCACCACACACTGCCACCACACACTGCCACCACACACTACACCACACACTGCCACCACACACTGCCACCACACACCCCCACACACTGCCACCACACACACGCCACCACACTGCCACCACACACACCCCCCACACTGCCACACCACACACTGCCATATTGAAACCTGCATCTCCCTCCCCTTGTGTCATGTGAGAATGAATTATAGATTACCAATAAGATGTGAACCTGTGGGGGCCCGTGAACCTGTGGGGGCCCGGTGAACCTGTGGGGGCCGTGAACCTGGGGCCCGGAACTGTGGGGCCCAGAACCTGTGGGGCCCGTGAACCTGTGGGGCCGTGAACTGGGGCCCCGTGAACCTGTGGGGGCCCTGAACCCAGGGGGCCCGTGAACCTGTGGGGCCCGTGAACCCTGTGGGGCCCGTGAACCTGGGGGGGCCAGGAACCTGTGGGGGGGCCCTGGGAACCTGTGGGGGCCCGTGAACCTGTGGGGGCCCGTGAACCTGTGGGGCCGAGAACCTGTGGGGCCAGAACCGTGGGGCCCGTGAACCCATGGGGCCCGTGAACCCGGCTCAGAACCTGTGGGGCCCGTGAACCTGTGGGGGGGCCGTGAACTGTGGGGACCGTGAACCTTGGGGGCCCTGAACCTGTTGGGGGGCCGTGAAACTGTGGGGACCGAACCCCTGAACCTGTGGGGGCCCGTGAACCTGTTGGGGGCGAACCGGGGACCGTGAACCTGTGGGGGCTGTGAACCTGTGGGGGCCCGTGAACCTGTGGGGCCAGGAAACTGTGGGGGACCGTGAACCTGTGGGGGGCACTGAACCTGGGGCCCTGAACCTGTTGGGGGGCCGTGAACTTGTGGGAGGCCTGACCCGGGGGCCGTGAACTCCGGTGTGGGGGCCCGGAACCTATGGGGGCCTGTGAACCTGTGGTGGGGGCCGTGAACCTATGAGGGCCCGTGAACCTGTGGGGGGGGCGAACTTGTGAGGGCTGAACCCAGAGGGCCCGTGAACCTGTGGGGGGGGCGAACTTGTGAGGGCCCTGAACCTGTGGGGGGGCCTGAACTTTGAGGGCCTGAACCTGGGGGGGGGCCGTAACTTGTGAGGGCCCGTGAACCTGTGCTGCTATCTCAGGAAGTGTTGTGTTATACAGTACGTGGTTAGTGTACGGTATATCGGGCCTCATATCATAATAGACGGTGTTGATGCGTCTGCCAGTGTTCTTATCAATACATTCTCACACAGCACAAAATATGCACATGGTGTTGGTGTACATGTCTATATATTTACGAACATTGTACACCTTTAAGCAACCTGGCAGCCATTTACAACTAACTCATAGACCTCCTCCTCTTCCTCCCTCTACCTTCCATTCCTCCCTCTCCTTTCCTTCTCATCTCTCCTATCCCCCCCTTCTCTTCTCTTTCACTCTTCCTCCTCCTCCTCCTTCTCCGTCCTTTCCCTTAACCCTCCGCCCTGCCCCAGATTGATTAAGTTTACAGCGAAAGCGAACAGTCTATTTTTAGTAGTATTAGTGAGACATAAAAGACTGTAACACGAGACAAAAGACTGTAACACGAGACAAAAAGACTGTAACACAAGACAAAAGACTGTAACACAAGACAAAAAAGATCATAACACGATACAAAAAGACTGTAACACGAGAGATAAAAGACTGTAACACGAGACATAAAAGACTGTAAACACGAGACATAAAAGACTGTAACACGAGACAAAAAGACTGTAACACGAGACATAAAAGACTATAACACGAGACATAAGACTGTAACACGAGACATAAAAGACTGTAACACGAGACAAAAAGACTGTAACACGAGACATAAAAAGACTTAAATACAGAGACAAAAGACTGTAACACAAGACAAAAGACTGTAACACGAGACATAAAGACTGAAACACGAGACATAAAGACTAACACGAGACATAAAAGACTGTACAGACAAAAAAGACTGTAACACGAGACATAAAAAGACTGTAACACGAGACAAAAGACTGTAACACGAGACATAAAAGACTGTAACACGAGACAAAAAGACTGTAACACAAGAACAAAAAGACTGTAACACGAGACAAAAAGACTGTAACACAAGACAAAAGACTGAAACACGAGACATAAAAGACTGTAACACGAGACATAAAAGACTGTAACACGAGACAAAAGACTGTAACACAGGAAAAAAGACTGAAACACGAGACATAAAAGACTATAACACGAGACAAAAGACTGTAACACGAGACATAAAAGACTGTAAACACGAGACAAAAGACTGTAACACAAGATGACTGTAACACGAGACATAAAAAGACTGAAACACGAGACAAAAAGACTGTAACACGAGACATAAAAGACTGTAACACGACAAAAAGACTGAAACACGACATAAAAAGACTGTAACACGAGACAAAAAGACTGTAACACGAGACATAAAAGACTGTAACACGAGACAAAAAGACTGTAACACGAGACATAAAAGACTGTAACACGAGACAAAAAGACTGTAACACGAGACAAAAGACTGTAACACGAGACATAAAAGAATAGCAACACGAGACTGAAACACGAGACATAAAAGACTGTAACACGAGACAAAAGACTTAACACGAGGCATAAAAGACTGTAACACGAGACAAAAGACTGAAACACGAGACATAAAGACTGAAACACGACATAAAACATTAACACGAGGCATAAAAGACTGTAACACGAGACAAAAGACTGTAACACGAGACATAAAAGACTGAACACGAGACACAAAAGACTATAACACGAGACATAAAAGACTGAAACACGAGACAAAAGACTGAAACACGAGACATAAAAGACTGTAACACGAGACAAAAGACTGAAACACGAGACATAAAAGACTGAAACACGAGACATAAAAGACTGTAACACGAGACAAAAGACTGTAACACGAGACAAAAGACTGTAACACGAGACATAAAAGCCAAAAGTTTAACATGAGAGATACGGAGACAACAAACAGACAGACACGTGAGGCATAAAAAGGCTGAGACAAAAAAAGCGGAGGCATAACGAAGATAAAACAAAAGGCAGGAGAGAGAGAGAGAGAGAGAGAGAGAGAGAGAGAGAGAGAGAGAGAGAGAGAGAGATCTAACCTACCTTAAACCACCATAACTTACAGTAACTTTAACCACTCTATTTTATAACTACAGTAAGTGTGGCGTTGATCTTTTAAACTCATTGCTAATGGTCCTCCTCCTCCTTCTTCTTCTTCTCCTCCTTCTCCTCCCTTCCTTCTTTTTATTCATCTTCTTCCTCCTCCTCTTTCTCCTCATCTTTCTTCTCTTTCTCTTCTCGTGTTGACCTCTGACCGATTGACTTCATTAACGCTAGATTCTTCTTCTCCTCCTCCTCCTCCTCCCCCTCCTCCTCCTCCTCCTCCTCCTCCTCCCCCTCCTCCTCCTCCTCCTCCTCCTCCTCCTCCTCCTCCTCCTCCTCCTCCTCCTCCTCCTCCTCCTCCTCCTCCTCCTCCTCCCTCCTCCCTCCTCCATCTCCCCCAATCTCCTCCTCCTCCTCCTCCTCCTCCTCCTCCTCCTCCTCCCTCCTCCGCCTCAATCTTCCTCCTCCTCCTCCTCCTCCTTCCTCCTCCTCCAGCCCTCCCCAATCTTCCTCCTCCTCCTCCTCCTCCCTGGGTCTGGAAGTCGTTAATGATGTCTACTTGTTTTTGTCTCCTTGTTATCACGACTCCCAGGGACGGAAGGATAGACAGACAGACGGATAGATAGACAGAGAGAGATAGCCAAGTGGATAGAAAAACAGATGGGGAGAGAAACAGAGAGAATGAGACAGAAGGAGACAGATGGACAGAAACAGAGAAAGACAAACAGAGAGAGAGAGAGAGAGAGAGAGAGAGAGAGAGAGAGAGAGAGAGAGAGAGAGAGAGAGAGAGAGAGAGAGAGAGAGAGAGAGAGAGAGAGAGAGAGAGAGGTTTCATTTCTTCAACTTCCTCTGTCAACGTGAAAACAGTGAGAAAAATTATGGGATGGATGACTGTTACACGGAGGGAGTGTTGGAGGCGTGGAGGGGGGAGTGAGAGATGGAGGGAGAGTGGGAGAAGGAGGGAGAGGGAATAAGAGTGGGAGGAAGGAGAGTGGGGCAGAGTGAGAGGAGGGAGAGGGAATAAGAGTGGGAGAATAAGAGTGTGAGAGTGTGGGTGAGTGGAAGAATGTGAGAGTGGGAGAGAGTGGGAGAGTGGGAGAATGTGCAAGAGTGTGAGAGTGGGAGAGGGACGGACAGATGACAGGAAGGAGGGACAGTATAAAGCCTGGCCTCCACCCACGATCGTTGTCCGTCTGACTAA